CACTTTGGGACACTAGTCTCTTATTTTATTCTATAGCATATATTATATATCCTTTGATTATTCTTTCTTCCCCACCTTTTTTGCTTTTTTTCTACCAAAATATTTTATTTTTATTCTTGTAATGTTCTTGTATACATTGATGGATCCATCTCATGCTGTTAATTATTACTTGTGTGATTGATTGTTATACCTCTTACAAGGATAATCCCACCATTCTCAATTAGAAATAGCATTGTAGGATGAAATTGAGTAATTTTCTATAAAACAAATATTACAAATTTGGCCGTTTGGCTTAGTTTCATATTCATTGGTTACATACTAAAACTTTAGTTTAAATATTATTTTTATCGTTGTAGTTTTCAATTTGGTTCATTTTGGTCCACATGTACTCTCAAACGTTCATTTTTATCTCTATATACTTTCTTTTTGTTCATTTTAGTCCTTTTATACTTTCAAAATATTCATTTTGACTATTGTACTTTTAAAAATTGATCAATTTGGTCCTTATTTGTAAATTTTTAACACAAGTAAAGGAAATCATTTTAATACAAATTTATGACTACATTTCAAGAGATTTGGTGATTAAATGAAATAAAATAAAAATAAAAATGATTGAAGGGACCAAAATGATCACTTTTTAAAAATATCTTTTGTTATAGATAGTATTTAAACCTAAAAATTTTAATTTAGTTCCTATAGGTTGGTTAAAATTTCACAAACGGGTCCCTAATACAAAGGTAACACACTAACTATTGTTACAAAATAAAAAGAATGACACATATTCAACATGTTATAACGTCCTTGTAATGGTATTAAACGATTTGGAAAATTTAACCGGATCATGAAGATCAAATTGAAACTTTTAAAATCATAAGGACAAATTTGAAACTAAACTCAAACCACAGAAACCAAATCCAAACTTTTAAAACCGTAAATATAAGGGTGAAATTTGATAATATATAACCAAAACAGTTAATTAGTCTTGCAACTATGTTATAAAGTTTTACTGTTAATTAATGTGTGTTAAATAAGGGTTGAACATATAAGAGTTTCTATTGTGATACCATGTTAAATAAACAGTAAACCCAAAATCTTAAGTTGATGGGTCAGAATAAATTTAATTATTTATAGATATCTCAACAACGTGAATACGATAGTCTCACACAATATTTTAAAATGAGGAAGATTTCGAATATACAAGTAAAAGACAACGTCTCTATCAATATTCCATACATTTTGATCGATGAAACTAAAAAACCAAAACCATTTTCAAAGTCCTTCAAACTACACTTTCAAACTACAAAATGGGGAATTTTCAAAACCCCAAAAAAAATAAAGGTAGAAGAGAAAAGAGTAATTTGGTAGGCCCAAGAAGAAGAATAAGAAGAAGAAGAAGAAGAAGAAGAGATGATGGTGTGTAAGGGATAATAGTTTAGTGGTAGGGGCTTGGCTTATAATGGAGATGGGAATAACGTCTTAAAAGACAGAATCCAATCCCAATCCCAACTTCACCAATTATGGGCGTGCATGCCTTGGCCCTACCCTTCATTATTATCCTCTCCCAATAATAATATTCATAATTATGGCTCCTCTTCAATGTTTTTTACTTAATTCTGTTGTCGAGTTTGAGTATTCTTTTAACCTATTTTATCCCGATGCTTACGAAGATGTTTTATTGGTCGAAGGTTTGTCGAGTAATTGTATTTCACTGCCTCGATCTAACTACACTACTCGCTTGACTTGTGCTGCATTTTACAAGAGTGAATATCATCTCCCTATAGATCAATTAATACGAGTCCTCTCGAGATATACTTTACTTTTACTCACATGGTTTTTAGAAAAATTACTTGAGGGGTCGCCTAACAATTACTCTAGGTTAAGCATGCTTATCTTTACCCATTTGCTTAAATAGTTTGTCTGTCTCATTTGGATATTGTTGGTTCGTGTGTCATACAAATACAAACAAATATCAAAATTGATTTTTATGACAATTTAAGTATAAAAGAAGATTATTTATAATTTGTAACATGTTTTAATTATAATTTGAAACTAAATAATGAAAAAAAAATTATTTTTGACAGTATGAGTATGGGGGAAGATGGCTTAATGCACACTCTCCATGTCATGTCTTCCATTCATCATATGAATAATTGATTTTTGTTCAATATCTTTCTCTCTCTAATTCTCTACCTGTTTTTATATCCAAAAAAAAAAAAAAGAAGTTATCTACCTGTTTTTATATCATTGATTTCCTCACAAATAATATTAACATAAACAGCTATCATGATCTTATTGACTATGACGATTGTCATCCTTCCCATGTTTATTTGTCTTCCAATAATTTAGATTTAATTTTTTTTTCCTTTTTTTTTTGGCCATTTGGAATTTATTTGATATAATTTTTAATTATGACAAACCTAATTAATATAAAAAGTCATATGGAAATGTTTAGTGGAAAATAGATGATTTTAAAGATATTGGTGGGTATACTGAGAAAATAGAATTAAATTAATATGAAAAATACCCATTTATATTAAAATTTAATTTAACAATGATAGATGAATTATTTGAAATAAAAGCAAAAGCTTTCATCGTATCTTAGGAAGTACAAATATCTAAATCATGTGATTTCAATATGTTGCTTTAAAAGTAAGATTTTTCTTTTTTTTTTTTTTATTTTTTTTCCTTTTGTTTTTGTTTCTATTCTCTTTTCGTTCGAGAATTTTGAAGGATTTTTTATCCCATTTTCTTTTATCAATTAGATTATATTCGTAATCCATAATTATGTTTGTAATCCAAAATTAGCTTCTAGTATGAAAGCTTAATTGAGAAAATTTAATAGTTTTGAGAAGTCTATTTTAAAACTAAATGTTTCTAAATATCTAAAATGTAACTTTTCTATGCCATTTTTATTGATATACAGCATCACTCTTTTATAACAGTTTTTAAATACATTTTCAGCCATTTGATTTAACTTATGATACCTGGGAATTGATTGTATAATCTCTTTTACGTTTTAATTTTAATTAACAATTAAGAAATACCCTTTTATTTTATTTTTTTCAGTGTTAGAAATAAGTTACCTTGTAAACAAATTCTTAGCTTTGTAGTTTACTTTTGAAAACCACTTCTGAAATTTTAATCAAATATTTAAAATTATAAATAGATTTCAGAAAAAAACTGAGGTTATATTTTAAATTTTGTTTAAGCTTCTATAAGTTATTATTATTATTATTATTATTATTTTGGAAGTGGAAAACAAGATAATGAATCACTTTTTTTATTATTAAATACATATCAGAAATCTTTATATATATAATAGAAGATAAATTTAAAAAAATTGCAACATACAACCATTTATTTAGAAAAGAGAAAAAAAAAAAAAGATTAACAAGCAAATCCTAGCAACTTCAGTTTTGATAACATCTAGAGTTTGGTTTAGAATTGATTTGGTTTAAGTGGGAAAAAACCCAAAACTTCAAGCAGAAGAGGATTTAGCTTCAGAAATACTAACTAAAATAAAACAGAGTTCAAAAAATGGGAAGAAAAAAAGATTCACAAATTTAAGATCTGAACAGAAACATGACCCATCCAATAAATGCATTCCAAAACCAGGTTTCTTTCTGCAGACACAGACACAGTTTCAAGTTTTCACTAAAAAGACAAGGAATAACTTTACATCAACAGATGCAAATTATTAGAAAACATTGCAGAAAAAATATACATCCTTTTTCCCAAGTATTCAAGGAATATATAAGAGCAGAGCATCTGAAAGAGGAACACACATCATTTTATGCAATGAATGAGCTCCACTTGATTTCTCATCATGATTCATCATGTTTACAGTATTTAAAAAAAAAAAAAAAAAACTTAAGCTACATATTTCAATACCAATGGTAATCATGACTTTTGTAGCTTTGAAACAATGGAGATGCTTAAATCTTACTCAATGGGTTGACAAATGGGAATGGGGTAGAAATTACAGCAGTCATTGATTATAATGAAAAGCAGGTATTATAGTGGAGACAGAAATGGCAATTTGAGGATGAAAATGATGAGTCTGTGTCGAGATTAGTTAAGGTGTGCGTAGGTTGACTCGAACATTAAAGATGTCATAAAGGAAGAAGAAAAAAGCATGGAGGCCAACAGAATAAGTGGAGGGTAGAATCCATGAGAATCAAGTAAGTGATCATGATGAGCTCTCCTAAAAGTCAACCAGCACCATAGCAGAATAGAACTACTAAATGTGTTTCTTGATGTGAAAAGAGTGAAGAAAACTGTTCTAATCATGAGAATTCAATCATAGCATAAATTTGTGAATGTGTGTGAATCTAATAATCAACAAACTATTTTTGAACTTCAGGCTTTTATTCCACAATATGTTGTGATTCTCATACAAGTATGAAGTATGTAGTAGAAGATGATCTTCAATGGCGTGGGAGGTATCCAAAACCCTCAAGATTTCAAACTGTTCTTTTGAATGATATAATAGTTGACGGAGATGAAAGAGAAAGCTGATGTCAAGTAGATACGAAAAGCTCGAAGGAATCGGAATAAAGTTCGTTGATGGTTTGTGATTCTCATCTTGAAGTGATGGGTTAGATGATGCTAACAGGACCAGCGGATGAGCTAATGGAATCAGCTAAGGTAAATGGAGAATAAAGCAAGGCCAAAAGGTCCAAAGATCTGCCGGCTGATATGTTTGCTTTATCATTATTGCAATGTTCTGTATAAATAACCAAGTCAAAATAAAGAAAATTAAACTCAAACAAGGATTTCAAATTTAACTGAATCAAGGTGAATAGTCAAATCCCATTTTGGATTAATGGGGTAATAATAAAAGAGAAGTGGAAAAGGCTAAACTATGGAGGAATTTATGATTGCACTCTAGAACCACCAGAACTAAGCTAACAAGGAAAATTAAACAGGTATACAAAATCCTAATCCAAAAATGATAATCAGAAAGATTATAATTCCTGAATATGGTCAGTATACACGAATTTTAATGCATCAGATGACAACTCTGGATTAGTAAAAGAGTTGAGCTTGGGTTTTGATACGTGAAAGGTTACATATGGAAAAGATAAAGGAGGACAGTACTCTACTTAATTTACTAGTTATTTGCATCTAAATATGCTAAAAAAGTGTGCCTACATTTCAATTCGAGTACGATAAGCAGTAAAATGAAGAAAGTTGAATATCGACCATGTGATAGTCCATTGTCGAAGCAAGAGTCAGTATTTTTGCTGAGTGAAAAAGTAAATAAATGCACTTACATAGGTGTTGAAATATTATAGTCTCGATTCATTTCTCAACCTTAGGACCCAAGATAGAGGTGTTCTCAAGCCAATCTTCTCCGTCTGGGTGCCCGAGAGTTTCCACTGTCTACATCAGAAACCTGTAGAGCATCATTTCTCCTTCTGGATGATGATGTTGAAAGGGAGACCATGGAATCAATTTCTACAGCAGTGTCCATTTGACTCTCTGAATTTATAACAGCAGCAATGCTAGAGAAAGAATCTCTGTCCTCGACTGGTGGAGGCTGCTCTTGATTTCTAGGAACGAGTGGATCGGTATATATAAAACCATCTGGAAGCCTATCAGCAGAATTAAATGCAGAAGTAAGAGAAGAAACTCTTGTCCGGTGTAGTAAGGATCGAAGTACTGGGAGTGACTGAAGACGGGTTTCCCCTGCCTCAATGCCAGACACATCAGCGTGTGCTAGATCTCCCACATCATCATGGGGCGGCAATGAAATTTGTTCTCTACGCATTCCCCTGGATGTCAAAATCCTATTCAACAAGGTTGGAGATCTACCAAATGTTTCGTGTGAACTATCTGGCTCTGGTGGTTGGTCTAAGTCACGATTGAAATCAAATCTGTTCCCCAAACGGCGGATCATCTCCTCCACTGGGAAAGAAAATGCAGTCCTCTGGATGGTTTGCCTCAAACTTTCGACCTTCCGGGCATGAGGCCTTAGAGGAATCTTAAGTGTAGCATCCTCCTCTGTCACAGGGGTATTGCTCCCACGCCCATAAATTGGAGTCACGTTCTTCGTAGTAACCTCACCTTTACATACAGGACATTCCTTGGCCTCTGAATGTAGATGTAACCATCGATAAAGACACGGCCAGCAGTATAGATGACCACAACAAGTTACAACAGGGTCCCTAGCCAAGTCCAGACATATATTGCAATCAAAAAAGCTCCCATCAGAATCACTGCTCTTCTCAACATCACTCTTATTCTCTGCCTTTTCATCTTCCAAAGCTTCATTGTTGATTTCACATGTTTTCCCTGCCTCATTTTTCCTTTCCTCAGCAGTAGTACTACCCTCACCAGCCTGTAACGGCTGTAATGAATTCCCATTGCCTGAATTGACCATAATTTCACTCAATTGCATAGAAATGTTCTGAGTCTCAGGAGGAATTTGGACTTGACGCCTCCTCCACCGCTGTCTCGTCCTAAACCTGATAGCTTCCCCAAATCTACGAACAGGGTCTTCAGTCAAATAAGCTAAATTTTCCTCTTCATTCGGAATCGAGTTTGAAAGTGGCTCTGGAATAGGACCCAGATTCAAGTCAAGATTCATTGCTTCAGCGCTTTCATCCATTAGAAATCGATCAGAAAATAATCCCCAATTTAACCCGAAACTTACTGGCCTCGGGTTAGAAGAGCAAACCACAATGGCACCATAAAATTCAAATTATCTCCAAACACTAGATCAACTCTGTCCCAGACAAACAACACCAGAAAGGTCAATCCACCCTAAACACATCCTCAAATTTGAAAGCACCGACGAATTCATACACAAAACCCCAATTCTCCCAAATCCAAACTAACCCAGTCGAAACACAATACTTACAACAATAAACCCTATATCAATTTCGTTACAAATCACGAAATACGCCGAGCTTAGTTTTAAGCCCGTTAATCCCACTTCATCAATCGACAGAAATGATGAATTAAAAAATTCCCCAAGTCTAGGCTCGCAAGGAAAACTAGGTTTTATCGTGTCCAGCAGCCGAACAACGAAATTCTCACGTTGATGCAGAAGAAAAAGAAGAAGAAAAAAAACCGAACACCTGCGTCAGAAAACTGCTCCCGAGTCCTCAGAATTCAACGAAGCCGAGATCATCCTCCCCTCAGACCCATCTGGGTCCGAGCCGATTCGCCATAGAAGGTCCGCCTTCGATCAGCGATCTGGTCCACACAAGCAACAAAGAGAAAGAAAGAAAAAAAAAGTCACAGAGAGAAACGGAGACGGAGCATAATCGAACAGACAAAATCGCTTTAGAATGCAACAGAATCATACGATGATCGACCGATTGACAAGATCGTGCGGCTGATGAGTCGAAATTGGGAATCATTCGATCGAGCGGCTGAGATCTGAGCAGAGAGCCATGTGTGTGGCGCTGTGGGATTGGCGGCACTAAGTTCTTCAGTGAACAGTGTTGAATTGATGATGATGCACAGAGAGAGAAATAGAGAAACTTTCAATTTTGGCAAAAATTTACAGAATCGAATTCAACGTGTTCGTTTCTAAATTCCCAAGAACTCTCCACTGTTATATTTATTATATCTCTGCAGATCTTCTTTCCGAGATGGAACAGGCATGGAATTTTTGGCAAAGTAACTCATGTTTCCAAATTTAATGCTAAATCAAACACTTGAAATTCATTTAACAAGATTTGGAATCATATGAAAATGTTTATTTGATGATTAACATCTTCTTGATTCTTTTAATTAATCCTTTTTAAGTACTATTTTACCATAAATAGTATGTTTGGTTAAATTAAAATTTCGGTTAACCTAATTTTGGTTTAGTTTCCATTTAACCTATGCTTTTAAAATTTTCAATTATTTTTTTTAGAATATTATAGGATAAATAAAAAGTAAACATTTAAATCTACGACTTAAAAGTAGAATTGTCATAGTTTAACTAAGTTCGGGATGACTTTACGAGTTTCAATTTGGTATCTATAGTGACGGTTTGATTCAAACGTTTAAAAGTTTGAATTTGAGATCTATGATTTGGGGAAACTTTGCAAATGGTCTCAAAACAAATTTTATCCCCAAAAATTCATTCACTTTTAGCTCAAATCCTATTATAAAATAACACAATCACTCAAATAAAAACACCAACTCATTATTTTGTAAATTGAAAACATTTCAAACTAATTTGTTGTGACAATTTGTAAAATTTCACCATGAGAACTCAGTTCAAACATTTAAAATTATATTGACCAAAATAAAACTATTGAAATGGTATGAATCAAATTAAATCTAAACTCAAATAATACGAATAAATTTGTAGGAATCATTTTTCAAAATTTAAAAGATATGATAATTATATTTATTTGATAATTATTTTATTTTTACTAATTACTTCCACGTAAGTTTTCTTTATCTAAACTTTTTTCACTTAAAAAAACTTCTAAATTGGTCAAATTTAAAAAATAAAACATGTTTTTAGAAAGTACTGTTCTATTTTGATATCTTATTATTTTTTTCAAAGAACTTTTTCTATTTTCAAAATTTTCATCACATTTCAAAAATATTTTTGAAAGTAGATTAGAAATAATGAAAAATGCTAATAAATATACATGATTTCGAAAACAAAAAAATAAAAACGTTAAGATTTAAATTTAATTGATTTAATATACTTTCTCAAATCTATTTACCTAGATACACCAACAATCTCTAAAATCAATAACAAGAAATTAATAAATCAATCTGAATATAACTTAATCACTTAAAATACGAATAATCTTGAAACTTTGAATTTTTACACCATTCTTTATTAATTATTGTACTTAAAAGAAAAGTCACTGTGATGAAGGAAGTATCATAATAAATTAAATTCAGTCAAATTTTTTATTTTTGGTAAAATGTTAAAATAGAAAAAATATTTATTGACAAATAAAACTGAAAAAAATTCGAATTCAATATGGGCTTCGACTGATCCATATGTTCTTGCACTTTCTTATGGGCCTGGATTGGGCCGATCCCAGTGGTTACGAACATCTTTATTTTTAAAAATAACTTTTTATTTCAACGGAATAAAATCTCCTCCCGCCGATTTTTACGGGATTTTTAAAGTAACTAGTAAGAAACACGTGCGATGCACGTGGAACTCGAAAGTTTTATTTTTAAGTACAAAAAAATGAATTAAAAAAAGTGATAAATTACAACGTAACCTAATTTTATAAAATTGAAGATGTTGGTTTCAGCATTTTATTATTATTATATGAATATTTTAGATATTCGTATTATATTATATTAATTTTAATTAATACAAAATATTGATTTAAACATATTTTCTGTTCATTTATTTATGGTACCTTTTACGATTCCTAATTATTTAATTATGTGAATATTTTAGATAATTCTTTTTTTTTCATATGAATATTTTTTTATTGGAATTTAAATCAACACATACGATGTTGCATGAATGCTGAACTACGTATTATATTTTATCATGATCTTTTATAAAAATATTTTATCGGGATTAATTATAATTCTTCATTTATCGTCAAAAAATATCACAATATATTATTTACTTACAATTTTTTTGTAATTATAATTTAAAAATAAATGATAATTAATTATTCAACAAAATTGAAACTGAATTTAAACATGTTAATGAAATTAATAATTGTTTTATATAATACAATACATTATTTATTGGACTTTATTTCTAAATTAGAAGTGGGAAAGTTACTTAATAATTACCTACTATAGTTCTCATCTATTTTTACCTATACCGACCCAATATTATCATATGTAGCTCAACCATAAACTTCAGCTAATAACAAAGCCCGACTACAAGGATTTTGTATTTCTAAACATAAATGCACAAATTATAGAAACCTATTTTTCTCTCCTATCCCTTCACGCGTGTATTGCCTTTCATTATATGTCGTCTTCTTCTATCCAGTGCCGCTACTGTCTCAACAGCTTTCTCCTTCTGGCTCGCCACTACCGTTCCCTATCTCTTTCGCGCCCCTAGCATACAAGTTTAAAGCAACAACATTTTGCGACCTCGACTACAACTGTTATGCCATCTGTCTTCCCTGTAACGACTTCTACTATGCTCTTTGGTTAAGTATGGTGAGAACGAAAATCTCACTTTCTCGCAAGTTTTTTAGTGCTCTCCCCTTTACATTTTGTATTTATCTCACCCACTATGTATATATATATCTCTCAAAAAGATGAAGAAGATGAAAGAGTTTTTAGAAGTTAGGAATAAAGATAATGGAGTATTAATGATCTTCTAATTATAGTCTTGATTCATAGTATATGGCAAAATTGAAATAGGAAGATGAAACACTGAAAGGTATTATGGCATAAATGAAGGGAGATGGGAATTTAAGGGGGTGAGATCATGAGGGAGAGAAGAGAGAAATGGAGAGAGAGAAAATTTGTATTTAAATTACCCAATTACAATCAAAAGAATAGTGAAAATAGTTAAAATGAGAGGGTAAAAATGGAACACAAAGTTTCTTCTAATAGTGGCTTTTATATGTCCTATAGATAGGCATATTTATTAACCTTTTTCTATATTTGTTTCTTCAAATAACATGGATGGAAATTCTAATTAAGGTTAAAAATCGCTTTTTGTTTGAGATATAATAGGTTGATCTATAATTTAGTTGACTATTAATTTTTTATATTAAATGTTTAATAAAACAAATTAAAAAACTTTAAAATCAATTAATTAACAAATAGATAATATAGAGACGACAATCAGACTCCACCATTAATTTTTTAATCTCTAGGGCTTGCGGTTCCTTTGGAATTGAGATTAGGCTTAATTGATTAGGTAAATTAAAATAAACACTACTTTGTCATTAAATTTTCATTATATATGTTATGAGAGTGAAATGAACATTCTTTTCTCGTTAGACCAGTTCGTCTTTTTATTCTAATTGGACCTAAAAAAGCCTGATTGATTTTCTGAAGTTTAGCTAATTGAAGAAGACTTGCATTTTTAAATACACATAGATATGTAGATCCAGTATTTGAAGTTATTCTAATGTGTGTTGATTCTACTGTTCAGACAGTGAGGTTGCTGAGTATATTGCATGACTTAAGTAACTTAAGTCTGGATTAAGTAGTCATTTTCTGTCGTTGTAGGTTTTGTTTTACCACGTTTAATTATGGTCATTTTATTTCGGTGTATGGTCAAATTTCATGGTTGAAGAGATCGATGTTAATTAGGCCCAATACCTACAAGTCTAATACAATATTTGGCCTCAAAGTTTAGTAAGCTACACGTATATAAAATTTATAGTGGAGCAACTTTTTTCTTATTTAATTAAAAAAGTATGACCAGTTTTACTTTTAATTTAAAGTTATAGTCAATCTCTTTTTACTCTTTTGCCGTTAATTTGATGCTTCTATATTAATAAAGAGACATGTCGAACCAATAGAAACATTCTTGCCACATTGGTATGTGATCACTGATCCCATATTTTATTCGATGTTTGATGGTGATTCCAATTTGAAAAAAGTCTATATAATAATGCCAACCAAGTCTCAACTATAAGGAAAAAACTTGGGGTATATAAGTAAGAATGATTACTTCTATTGCTACGAGATATTTTAGATAAAACTAAAAACAAAATCAGGAGAGATTTATGTTAAAGTGGATGGTATTATATCACTGTGAGAGTCTTCAAAATTAATAAGAATTCAATATGTTTAATAGTAAAATCGATCAAGTTCGGATGAAGTGGATCGAAACTCTTATTAGTACACAATTTGATTTATTGCTTTAGAGAGAATAGTTTCGTGTACCTTGCGTGAGAGGTGGGAGTCTCTATTTTTATAGGGGCGAGCTCCCTAACAAGACTTTTGATAGTGCTCTAACAGCTCTCCGACCGCCACCTCGGAAACGGGACGTGGCTTTGGAGAACATCCTCGGTGTCTTCGTACTTGCTGGTGCTCTTTAATGTCGACTCGTACCTGACGAAGGTCGACCGAAAGGTGAAATATTGCTCGGCTCGTCTTTCACTTGTCGAGTTGCCAGGACTTGAACCAATTTGAAAGGCACAATCGATTCTTCTACTCATCTTGCTTAAGATAGCATATGAAGTCGACACATGACAGATGATAATTTGCCATCTGAAGTCGACACGCGACAGGTGATAATTTACGTCCAACACAATATATTAGTTGGTCCTTTAAGTATACAATCTACTATTCTTTAATTTCGTCTCTAGTATTTTGAAAATTTCAATCTATCCATCAAAGTATTATTTTTTTTAGATATATCAACATTTATGTATTGTTAACTTGAACATAATTCAACATCTAAGACATGAGCATAGTTTAACATGTATCTCCGACCAAAATGATCGTTAGTTGGATATTCAGCTCACATATTGTTGTACTAAAAGAAAGACAAAAGATAGGTGTCTTTCCTTATTTATGGTCGAGTTTGAAATCTTCATTTATTCCTTTGTGATGCAATATATATTTATATATATATATATATATATATAAATATTCTTTTTTAAAAAGATAAATATTGATTGATGTTAAAAAAATATTATTTGTTATGAGCTAACATTTTTCTATTGTTAATTATTCATCAAACACCTAGTTTAGTTGAGTATTTAACCTGAAGAAAAAATTAGTTTGTACCAACTTAGTTTAAATAGTTAAAGATATATAAGATTAGAGGTCCAAATTTCCATCATTTTATATTGAATAAAAGAAATTAAAAAAAATAGTTTGTGAAAGATTATATATATATATATATATATATATATATATATATATATATATATATATAAAATATCAATCAATAGGTTAACTAGAAATGGCTTCTTGCTAAAGAATGCAATTACACAATAACAACAAATCCCACTTCATTAGAAATAATTACACGAAGATGTGAAGCTTACGCTAATGACAATAAGAACATGATTGAAAAACCAAAAACCAAAATTAAAAATTTTGAAAAATTTGAAAAATTTGAAACAAAATTGAAAAATGAGACATGAGACTCAAACATAATATATAGAAACATAAACACGTCGATAGAAATATCAATTTTTATTCATTTAATTTTTTCTTCTTCTTTTAAATAACAACTCGTCATTAAAGAAATTGAGATGTCAAGTGGACTATCTTTAGACCTAGATCCTTCATTGTCTCGTGCACGAGCCAAGAAGGGAAAGAATATAATCAGTTTTCTAACGTGTTCGACTAAATAGCTTCCGCCATCTTTTATTCATTTTAATCAAGATACTCTCGAACCATCTATTTTAGCTATACAAAACAGTTAAAGAAGAAAAAAAGAAAAAAAGAAATCCAATAGCCATTGGTAGAGAATGTGAATGTGGAGTATGGCATAGGAGTAGTTGTAGTTGTAGGTGTGTGGAGTGGAGAGGACTAGGAGGAGAAGAGTGGGACCCACAGCACTTCCCAATCTGTAAAAGTATAAACGATAAAACTACCCACTCCCATCATTTTGTATTCCATCACCCGCTCTTCCACCCTGTCATCCTCCCGTACTCTTACTCTTGTCCCCACCCCCCCGATTCCTTCCTCACCGGCTACCTCCTCTCCCGGTCACCCTCCCCCTCTCCATTGGTGCAACTCATTAAATTTAAAGCAACCCACATAGAGAGAGAAAATAATATCCTTTCTTCTTTCTTCCTTCCCCTACTCATTTTCTGTTTGTTTCTCGGGAAAATTAATCCCCTAAACCTGCACCTGCACCTCCCTCTCCCTCGTATGAGGATCAGGAAACGCCAGCTCTCATTACCCTTCTCCTCTCTCCCTCTTTCCTCAGATTCAGATCCCCTCCCCCCGGTGCAACTCCCATGCGCCGCCCCCCACGGCGACGATCCATCTCCCCCGCCGCCCCACCACAACACTGCTCCCGTAAGTCCAATCAAATACTCCTCCTCTTGCTTTGCTTTTTGTTTCCCCCATCATCTTGATTTCCGATTTTGCTTAATTTATTTCACTGCCTTCTTCAAAACTGCACTCGCCAAACAAACACAAAAAACAACTTTCATTTTCTTTTTTCCTTCTCTTTTTTCTATGTGTGTTTCGCTGCAAATTCGGAGGATAATCGGGAGAACAAATCCCGAAATACAAATGTCTCTCATGGGGGTTGTGGGATTTTGATTTTGAAATTCTTGTTTTCGTTTGTTTTTTTGAAGAAGTTGCCGATGACATTGGAAGAAGTCGATGGTGATGAGGAAGAAACCAGGTAAGAACTAACTACAACAACAAAACGAAAACCCCCCCAAATTAATTTCTGTTCGTTCTCGATTTCTTTCTCATTAATCTCCATGAAAAAAAAAATAGTCAAAAAGTGAAAACCCCCCACCAAAAAAAAAAAACTCTTATGTATTATATTCCTTTATTTTTTATAATGAGTAGCCAATAAGAATAGCGGAAAAAAACCGCAAGTGGAAACACTGTTTTGATGATTTTATATATCTTTCTTTCATCGGCTTTTGGTTTTGGCCTCTTTGTATTGGGGTGCATGTTCGCTGGTCCACCGCTCTACCTCCTCCATTCTCTCTCTCTCCCCCTCACTTCAGCTAAATTATTATGCATTATTCATTTTCAAGAATAATTCCATAATATTTTCCAATCTTATATTATCTGTGGATATGTATATTTGTGGACTCTGCAATGTTTTTGGATTTCGTTTTTAGGGAGATCGCAAGAGTGTTTGGTGCAGAAACTAGCTATGGCGTTGTCCCTCAACAATCCACCTCTTCCCCTCCAGGTCAGATTATTAAAATCCTTCATCCATTTGCCTGTTTTGGCATTTCATTTGATGCACACCCAAATCGAATCATCATTGTTTTCTAGCTGTTTAATGAGTATAATGAGTGGTGCAAATTTGCTGACTAAAAATTAGCCCGTTGTTGACCATGGGAGAGTGGAATGAAATGATTATCATTATAAGATATAGTTTATAATCTTCGTGTGTATTATTTTCATGCTGTTCGAGTAGAAACCAGTTTGTTAATATTATCGTTTTGAGACATATTTGCTTATGTTATATCTCTCACTACTTTCCTACAGTGGTGTAACTTGACCCAAAAGTATTAAAGGGTTTGAATATAAGATCTAATTCTTTGATAGTGTTTTAAACCTGTTAAATTTTTGAAAAGCTTAAACTATGAATAGGGTTTGCATATAAGAACTTATTCTTTGATAGTGTTTTAAACTTGTTAAATTTTCGAAAAGTTTAGACTATGAATTTATTCATATTTAGATATTTAATACATGAATGGGTTCGAATCTTATAATAGCCACCTACTCAAGAATTAATTCTTATATATTTCTCGACATTAAATGCTGTAGAGTCAAATCGATGTCCCGTGAGATTAGTTGAATGTGTGGTGAACTGACCCAAATATGTGAGAAAAAAAGATCTAATTCATTGGAGATAAATTTTGTTAGTATGTTAGAGACCAATCAGTTAATCAAAACGAAGCAAAACCATTATCATTTTGAGACATATTTGCTTGTCTTATATCTCTCCATTTTCATACAGTGGTGTAACTTGACTTAAAAATTTAAATCGATAGATTCGACGTCTTACTTTGATATAATTTTAAACATCATATTAAATCATCTATAAATTTAATATAATCTAAATATTAAAGAAGAATTAAAATAAATTTAATCATATATAAATATCGGAGATAAATTTATCAGGATATATGTTTACTTTTGTAGGAGTGGTGGGGAAGTGGTGCGAGAGGGAGAAGGCATTTCCATTAAAGAAGAGACGAGGGAGCTTCGAGAGGCCAACGGAATTAGATGACAACAAAGAAGAAATCACGACGGCCAACTCGCCGGAGATGATAATCAACAAGAACAACATGAAGGCGACGAAGATGAACAAGAAATACGCCACCACGTCATCGCCGCCGCAGCAGAAGCAAGAACCCGAGGAATCCAAGGTGGGTCCGGAGCTCGCCGTCGCCGGGAAGAAGCGGTCGAGAGGCGGCGCGTTAATGGAGGGATCTCGGTGCAGCCGCGTCAACGGCAGAGGATGGCGCTGCTGCCAGCAGACGCTCGTCGGCTACTCCCTCTGCGAACATCACTTGGGAAAAGGACGCCTCCGCAGCATCAATACCGTCCGCCGCCGCTCCGCCGCCGCGCCCAAGAAGGAGCAGCCCCTCCCGCCGCCGCCGTTGACGCCGGCCAGTAAGAAGAGATCAGTGAAGCTGGGTGTGGTCAAAGCCAGGTCCATAAGTAGCTTGCTCGGTCAAACTGACAACGTCATGGCGGCGCCGCTGTATCCGCTGCCTCATGACGACGACGTATAATGAGTAGCCTCAATTAAACCATTACATATATATATAATATAGTGATTTTTATGTGATAAATTCAGGAAATTCATTGAAGCAATCTTTATTAGAAACAAAACATCCCATTTTTCTTTTCTTTTCGGATTTTCGAATGATTGGACATGATTATACACATACATGTGGTTGATATGATATGATATAAGGTGTGCATTATTTATAAATTTTGGGTTATTCTTTTTTATTTTATTCGAAATCTTATTTCATGCAACATTTTATTGAGGCGGTTGATGTATGCTTTAAAATGACAATTTAGTCTTGTTTAAAATTGGTCAGGACTTCTATTTTAATATATAATTGATTAATGTCCATAATTTAAAAATATGTTACTTCTTGAATTTTATTACAATATTTTTTATATGAATCCAACAGGTAAGGTTGAGAATTTGAATTTTTTGGTCTGAGATAGGTGTCTCATTTAGGAAATTAAGCTGATGATTTTAAATATTCGTTGATATGTCAACATTTTTATCGACATATCCAGGTTTCCATGGATTCGACATCAAGAAAAACAACAAAATATGAAAAATATCAATAAAATATCACTAATATATATATATAATATTAATATTAATCATTTTTAACTAATTTAGAAATGGGAAAATGTTTATTTGTTAATTTAAATATTTTTTTTCGATTTTTTACTTTTTCTAACTTTTACAGAAATATCTATCAAGGTCGACATTTTATCGATATTTCCACCGATATTTACATGAAATTGAGACCTCAGCATAAATTCCATCGACATCTACATTTAAAACATTGATTAAGTCCTTATAGATTTCAAATAATAGGTTTGATACATGTGAAAGTTAATCAACTCAATTACTATAATTTTAGATTTATAATAGAGATTTACGTTTAACGTACTTTTATCAAAAATAAAATGATTAACGTTTAACATACAAAAGTTTAGGATATTAAAAAAAAAAAAACATACAAACGTTTAGGGACGGAATTATTATTTTAATAAAAGGGAGTGGGGACCGATATGATTCTTGACCTTCAATTTATTTTATTAGATTATGACGTGGAAAAACATTTAGGAAACGTTGTCGTTAATGGTAAGTTTTGTTTGTTTGTTGAGAAAATTGGGATACCTTTATTCTTGGAGGAAATTTAAAATCCCCAAAATACCTAAAATTCAGATGGGTTAGTTTTAATTAAATTCACGTCTTTTGTTTAAATGCAAATCTTATCCATGGGTGCGCCACATGAAATTGAGGAAGAGGTCCAATTAAAGGAAAATATTTGTGAAAAAAGTTTAAAATAATATTGTTTTATATCTTTGCTCCCAAACTTTTCTTTTAAATTATAAAATAATTTCATTAGATAAAGTAACTTTGGTCGATTAAATTCATACTTATTGGTAGAAGTCTTACTATTATGAAATTCACCGTCACCATTACTTGCTACAAAAGTCAATTTTGTTAGAAGGCATATTTCAAGACGAAATTAATTTCGTGAGCAAAAACTTTTGAAAAAGACGAGATTTCAACACACATTTTTTTCGTGAAAATTAACAGCGACAAAATTAGGGACACCTGCCTACGGAATTTTTTTCGTGGAGAAAGATGTTTAATAAAACGCTGCATCTAATAGAAAAGACGACGGTCTTGAGGTTTTTCCCATCACATTCACTCGCGACTCTTCCTTTAATGTTCCCTCTCCAAACAAACCATAACAAATACAAATAGTTAATGTTTTTAAGACATTAGGTCGAAATTGTCCTTTTTGTACATGTTTATGAAATTTTATTTGAAAATGACCTAAGTGGGTCATTTTGAAATTTAAATTGACATTGATGGAAGTGGGTAGTATTTATAATTTTGTTAATGGGGCTGGTTTTGGAGTAGTTTAAATATGAATAAATTAAAATTTGAAACTTGAATGCAAAAACATGTCGTTACACAATTTAGTAACATCGTCATGGAACATCCTATGATTAATTAGAGTTATAAAGTGTCAAAGCGAACATAATTCAGTGATAATTGGCATATATCTCCAACCAAAAGGTTGTAAGTTCGATCTATCACATGGATGTCAAAGAGTCGGAAGTGCAACAAAGTTTCACATTGACTAGGAAGAAAATTATATATTATTGGTATATATGTGAAAGACAGCATCTTTATTGATATGTGACCTTTTGGGTAAAACTAAAAAGTTTATGCCCAAAATTGACAATATATATCATTGTAGGAGTACTTCTATACCCCACACGATAACAAAGGCGAACATTTTATATATGTGAGATTTCGTTTTAAAAGTTAATCCAATAGAAACTTTTATAATTAAGTATTGCTTAGCTTGAAAATAATTATTGGTTGATTGACTTCTTGAGAAAATTTCTTAAGAAGCATACAAATGAGGACTTAGGTAAAGAGATATTGAGGTACCAAATCTGAATTCTAAATACTGAATTTGGGTTGCTATCTTTTTTTTATAAGTAATTCATTTAGTAATATCTCCAAGTTCTTTTCTCATTTCTTGGAATGTTCCAAAAGTTGAATACCAATTTAAATTTCTTTCTCGTTTCTTCCTCCTAATTTACTAGAAAGTTAAAAGAAATTGTTTTCGAAATTATTTTTCTCATGAAATGTATGGACAATATAGAAATAATAATAACAACAACAACAACAACAGATGATTTTAGAGCGGAAAAAAACTCTTTTACACGAGAGAAAAAAGAAAGAAGTTGTCGTGTACACATTTCTATTTTTTTATATTCTCAAGTAAATTAAAGAATTAAGAAACAGAGTATTTTTTTTAAAAAAAAAAATTAACACATCAACTCATTTTGAAACCTAATCAATGAGGAAGAGAATAAACAAATGAAAATCTAGAGACTAATATGAATTGAGGATAAATCTAAAGATCAAAATCAATATTTTTAACTTGGAATCAAGAGAATTAACAAGGTATAAGTAATGAGCTAATACCGCTCCAAATCTTATTGGTTCCCTTTTCTTATGTATACTCATTAAAATTTTTCTATACTTTTGACTAAAAAAATGTTTAAATAATATTTTAATTTATATACTTTTGATCATGGTATTAAATATCCGTTGACAATATTTCCATCGATATATACACGTATCCATGGGTTTGACATAGTGGAAAGAAATCGGCAAAATATGAAAAATATCAATAAAATGTCACTAATATATACATAATATTAATATTAACTACTTTTTTGAAGTTATTTAGAAATAGAAAATGTTTATTTGTTAATTTAAATATTTTTTTTATAATTATTTAATTTCTCTAACTTTTATATAAATATCTATCGATATCGAAAATTTCATCGATATTTCCATGAAATTGAGACCTCGACATTTTCATCGACGTTGACATTTAAACATTTGCTTTTACTTTGATTTACTTTGATTTTTGTACTTTCAAAATGTTTATTTTGATTCATGTACATTCACCTTTTGTGTTCATTTTAGTCATATAATTTAAAAACATCCATTTTGGTTTCTATACATTTAAAAATGACCGTTTTGTCCTTTTATTTTTATTTTTATCTCATTACTTTTCCTTCCATCATAATTTAAGCTTACACTTCACTCATAAATCTTGAAATGTAGTTATTAAATAGTTTCATTGTGTATCAAAATGATCATTTTTTAACCGGATAGAAACGAAGATATGTAAACTAAAATAAATAAAAGTTAAAAATAAAAGACTAAAATAGATTTAAACTAAAAAAATAATAATAATATTTAAACTAAAAAATCTCTCTATCAATTTGGAAGAGAATAAGGAAGAAAACAAAGGGTGAGTATGAGTGTCGTGGTGGGACCCACACATTAAAATCTTGGATTTTTTTTAAATAATTATTTTTAAAAAATAAATGACAAAAATAGCGTAGATTTCAAAGAAATTACAATAATAGGGTAGATAAATTGCAAGGATAGATTGCGATTTGACCAAAGTTGCAAGCGGGGCTACGATTTCATCGTAAATCGTTGACCGCGACTAATGCAAAGTTGTAGTCATTGATCGCAACTTCTCCCTGACGTGGCTCCTATCTCTGCTGACGGGCCATTTGTTGTTGTTTTTTTTTAATTTGAAAGTGCTGTGACTTTCCACCCGCATCCCTCTTGGTTTTTTTCAAATTTTATTTTAAAAATCAGTATCTAAGAAAACTGACTAAATTGTATAATCTTAATTTTTGTAATGCAATAATTTAAAATAAAATAATTATAAAGCAAACAAAATCCTAATTATCCATACCGCAGATTCAAAAACGGCCTCTTTATACATTGACTTTTATGTTGTTATTAATTTAATAATTTTTTATCGATTTAGTTTATATTAAAATTAATATTATTTTATAGAACATATGAAGAATAAATGACATTTTAATCATGGTCTTGATCTAATTTTAAACTTTCAGACTTTAAATGACATTTTAATCAAAATTTAAAATATAATAACAAAAAATAAAAAAATTAATCACATCTTAATTAAATTTCATAATGTTAATAAAATAACAAATATAAAAAATTAAAATAGAAATAAAATAAAATAAATAAATAAAAAGGTTGAAGTCAGTACATACGATGTACACGACTTCAAAAAAAAAAGTGATAGTTGCCTATATTATAGACGACTTCCACCTAGTCACCTACCAGATTTACACGGAAATCAATGAATTGTACGCGAGTTTTGATTTTTATTTTGACCTAACCTATTTTTGTCAATAGTTTTAAAAACCTAACTTACGTTCAAATTTATTTATTTAAATTACATTTATTTTACAGTTATTTTTAAACTAATATTATTTTTATAGTTTATTTTTAAAACTTTGTCCTTGAAACCTCGGTTTAAGAAGCTTATCATATTTATATTAACCGACATTAATTAATACTTTAATTTCGTTAATTTGTTAATTTTTTTTGGTTCATTACCTCTACCTCAGCTTGCATGTTATAAAAGCAAACAAAAAAAAGGTAATTAATTAATTAAATTAAATTAAATTATTTGTTTTTTCCACCACAGTAATTAATTGATAATCCCAAGCTAAATGTGAGTGGAGTGGAGTAAAAGCCAAGAATTAATTGTACCATATTTAACTGTTCTTCTAAGAATGATTTTCTTTTTTTTTTCCCACCAAATTGAAGCCTTAATTCCTACTCAAAATATTTATTCAT